CTTCTTTGTCTTGTTAGATGAAGAAATCTGAGCCTTTTACAAAGCCCTGCTGAGAGACATACCTGAAGTGATGGATGCACAGAGATTGCAAGAGAACTTTATTGTGTTGACATTGTTTACTGGTTCATCCTGTCCAAGCTGTCAGGCCCAGCAACACCTACAGGAACAGTTATGTGGTGTATATTTCCGTGTCAACTTCATGATGTTTCCTATGGAAGAAATTAAATGTGTCATTATTTGAAACTTCTGTGTGCAGGTTCCTACCCAAACGGATATAAATTAGCTCCACCTCGTCCATGTACAACGTTAAAATGCTGCTTACGACTTAATACATCAGTAGGGGCGGCTGTGTAAGTTTGGCGATTCGATTCTTCTCCAATGTCCTTGGGCAAGATATTGAAAATTAAATTGCTCCATCGGTGTGTCCATCGGTGTGTGGTTGACATACTGTAAAAGTGTATTTCAGTTTATTTTTAATAAAAAGTAACTGGAATCAAAGATTACCTTAAAGGAGGAAACGGTACAAATGAGTTGTGACAGTTGAGGACAAATACATAAGCCACAGCTATAAGACGTCTGACAGGTGGTGGATGGCATTCACTCAGAATTCAACCAGACTTCTGTGCAGAAATATAGAATGTTGCTAGGTGAGATTCATGACTGTGAGTGTATTAAAGTTTCACAGTGTTGTTTCTGTCTTCTGGAGGTGTCACCTGAGACTTTTTAAATTTAATTTTTTTAAAGTCAAATGAACCTCCCCATCTGGAAAGATGTGTCAAGATTAACTTATGTTTTAATCTGTAAACGCAAGATAACTGTCAGTTATTAAATTGAAACCATATGAAAAGTTTAGTTCTGGTGGACTTAAAGCATCCTGGCTGTTTCTTTTTTTTCTTTTACTTGAGTAAATATTCTTAACTTAGAGACGTGACATTTTTTGTGAAACAGGTGGTAGGTGAGGTGAGATGCCTGTCATTGGACAGGTATGTGGATGTTGGAGGTACACTGAAAGGGAGGGAAGAATAGAGAGGAAGGGGAGAACAAGGGTATATATATTGATGCAGAACTGATCATATAGACTTACAGTTATGGCTTTCTACAAAGTGATCTGTTTGGCGACTCTGCTGACTCTCTTGACACAAGGTAAGGTCCCTCCCCACTGTACACACCTGAACCAATCATGTTTGAGATCTGATGACTGCTGTATGAGGAGGAAATCTTTTAATTAAGTAAGAGTAGTTGTAAGAGGAAAAAGTATCACATGCAAATGGAAATCCTGCATTCAAATTAAACTTAGCAGTGTATTTGATCTCTTAAAGTTTCTGTTTTTATTGCAAGGCTGTGTGATTTGAATTTAAGCCATTAAACGGAGAAACGAGTTTTGGCAGCTTTTTGTGTGCCTGAGTTTTCATTTTGTTAGAAAGTATTTGTTGTTTAAAGTAAAATGATTTAACATTATTGTAGTCTTCTCCCACCTTTATACAATACCTCTTTGACTAATTTTAAAGAGGATTTGGCATTAGTTATTTAAAGAAACATGTGGTTTGTAGAAACTAAGTTGATGTGACAAAAACATTCAGTCAATCCAAGAAATAGCAGATTACAGTTTTTTTTTACAACTGCTGCACGTATTCAAAACTATGTCACCTTTTTTCAAAACTCTCCACACAATTCCCAAAACTGCACACACAAAATGCAAAATGCCTCATGTGTCCTTCAAAATGAAAAAATACATTCAAAATGCCATAAAAACATCCCAAGATGAAGCACTGGCATGCAAACAATTTTTTCATAACAAATTATTGGATATACCATTTATACACTGCTGTTCTAAATCTCTTTTGATTTTTATAGGATTATATGTACATTTCCATACAATGTTCTTGAGTGAAAGTAATCTGCTGAGAGGTGCTGAAAAGCACAATGTAAACACCAAAGCAATGTTGAAACAATATTTATGAATATTTATTTGACAAAACATTACAGTTGTAACAGTAGCACAGTGTTTGAGTGGAGAGCTTCATTCTGACCTGAAAATAGGATGTTTGGGGAATTGGGTGAGAAGTTGTGGATTTGTGTTTAGAGTTTTGAGGAAAAGAAGCATAATTTCAAAAAATGAGTTTCAGCAATCGTGAATAACTGTAATACTTATTTTACAATACTGTATTGCTGAAATAACCATTAGATTGTTGCGACCTGTTCTAATTTGTGAAGGTTCAAATTATGGATGCCAATGTAAAGCAACTCAAGCTGGGCTGAACTCTCAGTGCAGCTTCTCTCATTGTGGTTGATCACCTGATCAATAAGTGTGACCCTGATCTCCTCCTCCTTGAACTTGTCCTCGTTGTCATCCATTGTTCAAAACAGGTATTGTGACCTTTGACCTATGTATAGGTCTACTGTATACTAAAGCGGTGGTTGGTTAGTGATTAGTTAAGCAGTTAGTGTGAGGAGTCGGTGTGTGACCTGGGGCGAGTTCACTCTCAAAACATTTAACACCGGTTTGCAACGTTTTCGGATTGAACGAAACGATGTTTCCTTGCAACATTGCGCAACATTCTGCAACGGGCCTTGAGGTATGTTTTCTTCTGTTAGGTGGGCATGTCACAGGTATTACCCAATCAGCAGCGACATGTTTGTAAACACAACGGTGTTAAAAAGGAACCACCGTTTCCGTTGAAAAAAACATTTCGCTACGTTTTGTCGGCGCTGAACTCGCCCCTGGTGAAGAAGAGTAGTATTTTCATTGGTTGTGTTTTGAAAAGGAAAGCGAGTCACTTCCTGTTCGACTTTTGTGTCTTAGGTAGAGAATTGTGTGTACTGTTCTGAAAAAAGTGTTTTATGCAATTGAAAACTGAGTTAAGGGCTGAGAAATAGCTTATGGTCTTGAAGATTTGAGGTAAAGTTTTGCTCTTTGAGTGAGAGGTTTCAAAAATCGTGTGACTTGTAAAGATTTTGTGTAAACAGTCGTAAAAAACTCTAATTCTGCAACTTAAAGCCACCTTAAAAAGTGACATTAACATGAATGTGGAATGTGAATGGCAAAACATCACTTCAATAGGCATTGTTGTATAAATTGATCCTTAATTTAAGACGTTTAAAGAGACATTTACGCTTCTATTCAGGAGGTATGTGGATTTATTAGATAGATCAGAGCAGCAGATGGGTTTCAAGTTAACATGGAGCCAGACCCCGTTATGTCCCTGATTGCAGAACTTTGACTGAGAAGAAAAAGAAAATTTGTTCTCTGAGCAGTGAGCAGAGTGAGCCGTCATGTCACAGTAAATCCTCTTGTTCCTGAATGTCGCAGAAATTGAGGACTCAGAGTGAGTGATTAAGTTTCTTTTATTAAAGTATGTAATCACCCAAAGTTCAAACAGATGTAGGGCAATATATACACATTTTATGTATATTCTTTACTTTTTATATGATATGATAATGTTTGATTTTCATCTGAAGCAGAATTATTTAGTAATTCATATAAAATAGTATTAAATCATACTTTAAAAAAAGTTCAGGATGAACTGAAAGCAGCCTCTCTGTTCAGGAAAGTAAATCATTAAAGCAGAAACACATAGCCTATAGAAATCTATTTACGCATGATCCATCAGGGGAGCTGCCGTCTTGTTAAGAGGAGTCGAGCTCCCCCGTAGTTTGCACCCTGTCTACAATCTCAACCATCGGGTTCCCGCAACAGAAAATAATGTTACTCTTACTCATGGATTTGTTTTTCTGGTGCCAAAATGGTTTGCGGTGTTGGTGAGTTATTAAATAAACAAAACGGCAATTAATTTCGACTTAAAATGCATTGTAACGCGCGTTATTGAGATTGTAATGGGTAAAATATTACCAAATTTTATTTAGTAATGCGTTATATTACTGCGTTACAGCAAAAAGCAATACATTACTGTAATTGCGTTACTTTTGTAACGCGTTACTCCCAACGCTGTCACCCACCCAAACAAGCAGTGGAGGGAGGCTTCAGCAGACTACGCTGGATGCAGCTTATGGTAGAACTAGATAAACAAAAGCAAGACAAGCGATTAAACGCCACAGTGAAGCGGAGAGCTACACACTGCATGCTGATTAGTATTGGGGAAGAGTCTAAGGAACGTTCTTAAAATCACAACGTAGTCGCTTGGCCCTGCGGGGTCGCTCTACGCTCCAGTGATTGGACAGGGAGACGAGCGCTCCGCCAGTAAACGGCAGGGGATCTATGGAGAGTAACCATGGCAACGGTGTCTTTGCACTATACAGCTGTAGCCTATTTACCTTAAATTAAAATTATAGGCTACGTAACTTTACCTGACAGGCCTTCATCTAGTGTTGCGGGGATGCTCTGCCAAACCAACTCCAGATCTTTATCAGTGTGTAGTCAATGTCACTGACTGGAGAACCTAACATGTTTTTGATGGTGGGGGAAACTGGAGCACCCGGAGGAAACCCATGCAGACACGGGGAGAACATGCAAACTTCACACAGAAAGGCCAGGACGACCGGGGTTTGAACCCACGACCTTCTTGCTATCCACTGGACTACTGTGCTGATAAAAAAAAACACACAAAAAAATAGATTTATATACATTAACCTGTTGCTCAGAAGGTGCATGTTATGATGTTATGATCGTGGCTCTGGACTCTAACAAGCTATAAAAGGTAATGCCCTGGCAGTGGCAAATAGCTTTGGTTTTATATTTGATTTGATTACATTAATGTTTAAGTTGAGATTTACAAGAAATATTTTATTGCTACTGTGTAAAGGGAATACTGCTGGTAAAAAGCAACTTATTTGTTTAAAGTGTTTGCAAACCTCATGTTATTGCACTTTTGTGTATATAGCAGTACATTTAAATTAAAAGTGCGCAGTACACTACTTTAGAATTCATTATTCAATTTTCCGCATAACAATGCGATAAAAATTTGAATCGTTACCCAGCACTTGTAAATATAAATACAGAGTTGTTGTTTCAAGAGTGTTTGTTGTTTGTTTTCTATTTTCAGAGTCTCACTCACAACTAAATGGTAAGTCTATGCTCACTTTTTTACTTCCTGTCATTTGGGACATTTCAAACGTGCTTTTTTTGGATAAAAATGTTGTTCATAACTTCATTATTGTTGACTGTCAGCCCCGTATTGCTCACTCTGTCTTTATTGTCTCTCTCCTCAGTGTGTGGTCGGCCTGTGCTTAACACCAAGATTGTTGGAGGGCAGGTGGCCTCTGCAGGCAGCTGGCCCTGGCAGGTCAGTCTGCGAACCTCTGGGTTCCACTTCTGTGGAGGAACCCTCATTAACAATCAATGGGTGCTGACTGCTGCTCACTGCTTCTACAGGTAAGCACTGAGGGTAGGGCTGCGAAAAAAAACAACATGCCACGCAGTGGTGTAAACATCCTTTCTAACAACCTGGAGGGCACGACCCATCCAAGTAGCTCTAGAGATGAATAGAAGGGTATTTGAGTGGCCCAACAGCCCATCTGGTGTGACTGGAGGCCCAGACATATCCTAGTTAAAGCCCCTAAAATTGCATTTTTTACAAATGTAAAAATGTGTGAAAACACTGTGACTCCCTAATTCACTGTAACTTTAAATCAATTTATTTGTGCTAAATCTAATCTCTATATGCATATCAAAGATTTTTGTATTGAATGTGTATGTGGTTTCTATTTGTAGTCTAACGTAGTAGGCTTTGGTTGCATGCAGGTACACAGCCAGTGTGAGATCAAAAGGGAAGCAATGCATTGGCCGAAATGCATTCTCTGAACCCAGAATCAGAAGTAGCTTTATTGCCAAGTAGTGTTTTACACATACAAGGAATTTGGTTTGGTGTTAAGGTGCTACACGCAGACAGAGATACAGCTGACATAAATAGATGAATAAATAAATAAATATGTAATAAACAAATGCAAGTTATATAAGAATAACAGACAAATAGAGAAAAATAATACAACTGTATAAAAATAACAATGGAACAACAACAATTTACAATTAACAACAAATATGTGCAATGTGCCAGGTTTGTGCATGATATGACATGAAATGATATTTACATGTGCAGAGACGATTGTTTTATTTGAGGGGGGGGGGGGGGTGATTGGGGGACCTGGACCTTGTTGATGAGGCTAGCTGCAGACAGGTAGAAGCTGTTTTTGTGGCAAGAGGTTTTGGTCCTGATGGGCCACAACCTCCCGCCAGAGTGGAGAGTCTGAAACAGTCAGCTGCAATCTTTCCTGCTCGCCTCAGAGTCCTGGAGGTGTGCAGGTCCAGAAGTGATGGAAGATTGCAGCCAATCACCTTCTCTGCAGGGTGAATGATGCGCTGCAGCCTGCCCATGTCCCTGGCAGTGGCAGCAGCGTACCAGATGGTAATGGAGGAGGTGAGGATAGACTCAGTGATGGTGGTGTAGAAGTGCACCATCATTGTCTTTGGCAGGCTGAACTTCTTCAGCTGCTGCAGGCAGTACATCCTCTGCTGGGCCTTCTTGGTGAGGGAGGTGATGTTCAGCTCCCACTTGAGGTCCTGGGAGATGATGGTGCCCAGGAAGCGGAAGGAGTCCACAGTGGTGACTGGAGAGTCACACAGGATGATGGGGGAGGGTGGGGCTGTGCTCTTTTTTAAGTCCACGACCATCTCCACTGTCTTCTGAGCGTTGAACTCCAGACTGTTCTGGCTGCACCAGGTCACCAGATGGTCGATCTCCCACCTGTAGACGGACTCATCCCCACCTGAGATGAGCCCAATGAGGGTGGTGTCATCTGCAAACTTCAGGAGCTTGACAGACTGGTGACAGTGCAGCTGTTGGTGTACAGGGAGAAGAGAAGGGGGGAAAGAACGCAGCCTTGAGGAGATCCGGTGCTGATGTTCCTGAATCAGAGACATGTTTACCCATCTTCACATGCTGCTTCCTATCTGTCAGGAAGTCTGTGATCCACCTGTAATTAGAGTCAGGTACGTTCAGCTGGGAGAGCTTGTCCTGCAGCAGGGCCGGGATGATGGTGTTGAAAGCAGAGCTGAAATCCACAAACAGGATCCTGGTGTAGGTTCTTGCCAGCCACCACTGACTGTGGCCAGTCAGCTAGTTGGCAAGGCGTTCATGGAGTGGGGGGATTTAGGTTTGTGGCTGGTGATCTGTCTGAATCCTCTCCAGACAGAAGCTGAGTCATTCCTTGAGAACTGGTGTTGTAGTCTCTCTACATACAGCTGTTTAGCATCTCGCACCGCCTTGCTAAATCTGTACTTTGACTCCTTAAACCTGGCTCAGTCCCCACTCCTAAATGCCTCTTCCTTTTCCAACCTCAGCTGTCTGAGTTTAGCTGTGAACCAGGGTTTGTCTTTGTTATAACTCACCCTGGTGCGGGTTGGAATGCATCTGTCTTCACAAAAGCTGATGCAGGACGTCACAGCCTCTGTAAACTCATCCAGATTGTTAGTAGCAGTCCTAAAAACATCCGAGTCAGTGCAGTCCAAGCATGCCTGGCTTACAGTTTATGATTAAAAATTCCAGATTAGGAGAACAGTGCTGCTGAATCACTGTAACGTCGCTACACCAGCCATTGTTAATATAAAACAGACACCTCCACCTTTGTTTTGCCGGAGTGCTCTGCGTCACGGTCCGCTCTGTACAGTTGGAAGCCAGCCAGCTGGAGCGCAGAGTTCGGTATCAGTTCACACAGCCACGTCTCCGTGAAGCACAGAACAGAAGATGAATAAAATTCTCAGTAGCTGAAGTTCATCCAGTTTGTTGCACAGTGAGTGCACATTGGAGAGAATCATTGCCGGTAGCGGTGTGCGGAGTCCCCGCCGGCGGAGGTGCATGAGCGACCCGGCTTGTTTCCCTCTCTTATGCCGTAGTCTTATGGCGCTTCATTCAGCTAACAACAACTAAAGAGCCCTTCACCAAAATGTCCAATAATTCCACAGATGACGCGAGAAAAGTGGGAAATCAATCCACTGGAGTTGTTCCCCTGATGTTCATGAGCTCTTCTCTGGTGAAAGAGCTCCGGGAATCACAGCCGAAAACTGAGTTAACACAAAAAACAAAACAAAAGAAAGCGCACCTAACTCCGAGGCAGCCATAGACAGCGCCATCTTGGAACCACATCAACAACCCATTGCCTATCGTCGGACAACAATTTAGCTTTTATTAGCTTCGTAAACTGGCTACTTGTGAAACATTTAAGGTGTAGATGTCGTCTCTCCACTCCATTCTTGCGTCTCAAGTTGCTAATCGGACTGTAAACAGTGTACCCTGGCAGAAAAGATTGTTTGATGTAATAAAAAACAACTTTGTCACGATCGTGGTGTGGAGGCAGGTTGGAGAACCCAAACGCAGGACACAGAGCGGAGCAGGTATGGTATAACGAAGGGTTTTAATAAACAAACAAAAGCGAGCACACTTACAGGTGAGTGGCTGAATAACAGAAATCCAAAAATCCAAAAGTACAGGGAGAGGAGAGGAGACGAGACGAGACGAGACAAGCAAGGCTGGTTACAGGCAGAGAGTACACACACGACAGACTGGGGGGTAACATGAACAATGACCGGACAAGGACAAGACAGAAACACCAGGTATATATACACAGGGACTAACGAGCAGGGCGGGAGCAACACAGGTGACAGACATGAGACTAACGAGGCAGAGAGAGAGAGAGCAGAGGAAAACAGAGAGACTAGACATGACAAGCAGACTATATAACAGATACTGGACACTAGATAGGACAGAACCCAAAACTCAACATACCAAGGCAGATACCAAACTCAAAAGTAAACACAAAGGATGGCCAACCGGCAGAGCGTGACAGTACCCCCCCACCGACGAGCGTCTCCAGACGGTCAACAAAACCCAAAACAGCCCAAAAACAAGGCACAAGCCGGCCCAGGGTGGGCGGAGGGAGGACAGGAGGAGGGCCAGACCAGGAACTCTCAGGAGGGTGGCCAGAGGGCAAGGCAAGGGGGCGACAGAGTTCGGGAGATCGCACAAGCAGGCCAAGGGGACAAAACAGTCCAGGGGAACCACCCAACAGGCAGATCATGCCCAGGAAACAGGGCAGGTAAGGCGCTTGGCCTAACATGCAGGGCAGGGCAGAGGGGCAGAACAGTTCAGGAGGCCGTCCCGGAGGGCGACCCAGGAGGCCGTGCAGACCAAAGGGGTCACGGAGTTCAGGAGGTCGTCCCGGGGACGACCCGACAGGCCGAGCAAATCAGGGGGAAAACACAGTTCAGGAGGCCGTCCCGGAGGACGACCCGACAGGCCGAGCAAATCAGGGGGAAAACACAGTTCAGGAGGCCGTCCTGGAGGGCGACCCAGGAGGCCGTGCAGACCAAAGAGATCACGGAGTTCAGGAGGTCGTCCCGGGGGATGACCCGACAGGCCGGGCAAATCAGGGGGTAAACACAGTTCAGGTGGGCGTCCCGTGGGACGACCCATGAGGCAGGGCAGAACAAGGGGGCCACAGAGTTCAAGGGGTTGGCAGGACGGCCAACAGTGAGGCAGCAAACCCACTGGGGGCCGAGCAGGAGGCCGATGGCAAGACCTCTTCGGAGGTCGGCACCCAAAACTTGGGTGCTCTAGAGGCACAGCTGGGCTAAGGACCACCGGCGAGACAGCTGGGCTGAGGACCACCGGCGAGACAGCTGGGCTGAGGACCACCGGCGAGACAGCTGGGCTGAGGACCACCGGCGAGACAGCTGGGCTGAGGACCATGGACCGGACACGAGGAGCTGGAGTCGGCCTGACCACCGACTGGACAGCTGGGCTGGGGACCATGGACCGGACACGAGGAGCTGGAGTCGGCCTGACCACCGACTGGACAGCTGGGCTGGGGACCATGGACCGGACACGAGGAGCTGGAGTCGGCCTGACCACCGACTGGACAGCTGGGCTGGGGACCATGGACCGGACACGAGGAGCTGGAGTCGGCCTGACCACCGACTGGACAGCTGGGCTGGGAACCATGGACCGGACACGAGGAGCTGGAGTCGGTCTGACCACCGACTGAGCACTAGGAACAGGAGTCGGCTGGGCCACCAACGGAGCTGGTGTTGGTCGGACCACCGACGGGAGAACAGGAGTCAGCTGGGCCACCGGCGAAGCAGGTGCCGGTCGGACCACCGACGGAGCATGAGGAACAGGAGTCGGCTGGGCCACCAACGAAGCTGGTGTTGGTCGGACCACCGACGAGGGAACAGGAGTCGATCGGACCACCGGCGAAGCAGTTGCCGGTCGGGCCACCGACGGAGCACGAGGACGAGGAACAGGCTGGGCCACCAACAGAGCTGGTGTTGGTCGGACCACCGACGGGAGAACAGGAGTCGGCTGGGCCACCAACGGAGCTGGTGTTGGTCGGACCACCGACAGGGCACGGGGAGCGGGAACCGGTCTGGCCACCGACGGAGACCTTGGAAGTGGTGTCAGTCGGACCTTCGATGAGGGACCAGTAACAGGTGTCGGTAGGATGACCGAGTGAGACCTGGGAGCAGGAGTAGGCCAGGGAACAGGCAGGCGGCTAGCAGCGCTAGCAGGCCGGGGATCAGGCAGGTCTGATGTGGAGCTAGCAGCGCTAGCGGGCCGGGAATCAGGCAGGCGGCTAGCCGTTCTAGCAAGCCAGGGGACAGGTTTGTTGCCGACGGGTCGCTGATGGTGACCTCGTCGCCTCCGATGACCACCACGGGAACCCGAAAAGATGGCTAGGCGACTCCCTTCAAAGGACGACTCCGGGGAAAGCCTAGCCTCCAGGCTATCAGGCCATAGTGTAGCTGCCCGTGCTGCCTCTGACTCCCTGGCCTTCATGGTCAGGTAGGCCAGGAGAGTCATAGTCCCTGAGTCCTTGGTAGGTAGGGCAGGCAGGCGGACGGACAGGCTAGGCGGAGGACTAGCGGCGCTAGCCGAGCAGGATACAGGCAGGACAGGCGGAGGGCTAGCGGCGCTAGCCGAGCAGGATACAGGCAGGACAGGCGGAGGGCTAGCAGCGCCAGCCGAACAGGTAACAGGCAGGACAGGCGGAGGGCTAGCAGCGCCAGCCGAAGAGACAACAGGCAGGACAGGCGGAGGGCTAGCGGCGCCAGCCGAACAGATAACAGGCAGGACAGGCGGAGGGCTAGCAGCGCCAGCCGAACAGGTAACAGGCAGGACAGGCAGAGGGCTAGCAGGCCGGAGAGATGACGGCCGGAGGCTAGCGGTCCGGGTGTTAGCCATTTCCAGGCTAACAGACTGAGGATCTGATGAGGACTTGGCTGGGGGATTGGCTGAGGTGTGGAGGAAGTCACAAACCCACCCAGGGAGAGAGTCTGCTGCTCCTGGCTGAGCAGCCAGGCTCTTCCAGGCAAGGGACACGATAGCTGCCTTATGGCTAACATGACTAGCCCCATACCACATATTCCTCAGCACCATAAGCTCCCTCAGCACGTCAGTCTGTTCCTCAGTTAGAGTGTCTGCTGGGCTCTTAATTGGTTCCGGTCATTCTGTCACGATCGTGGTGTGGAGGCAGGTTGGAGAACCCAAACGCAGGACACAGAGCGGAGCAGGTATGGTATAACGAAGGGTTTTAATAAACAAACAAAAGCGAGCACACTTACAGGTGAGTGGCTGAATAACAGAAATCCAAAAATCCAAAAGTACAGGGAGAGGAGACGAGACGAGACAAGACAAGCAAGGCTGGTTACAGGCAGAGAGTACACACACGACAGACTGGGGGGTAACATGAACAATGACCCGACAAAGACAAGACAGAAACACCAGGTATATATACACACACACACACACACACACACAGGGACTAACGAGCAGGGCGGGAGCAACACAGGTGACAGACATGAGACTAACGAGGCAGAGAGAGAGAGAGCAGAGGAAAACAGAGAGACTAGACATGACAAGCAGACTATATAACAGATACTGGACACTAGATTGGACAGAACCCAAAACTCAACATACCAAGGCAGATACCAAACTCAAAAGCAAACACAAAGGATGGCCAACCGGCAGAGCGTGACAAACTTTGATGATAAAGAAGATGTTTTTTCAGTTCACAAATATTCATCTTTTTCTTTTTCATTTTTCTGAAGTTCTCCACAGCAACTGATCCAAAGAACATGGACTAGGCCTATGTGCAGACTGAGGGGGAAATTATTAATTTGAGGAAACAACTTAGGACATGAGACCATGAAAATGTATATTAAGCACATGAATGAGTAAGATGAGGGAATGATTTATAATATAATGGATACTAATTTACAATAACATCATTAATTTGTGGGAATGATATCTCCATGTTGCAACATTTATCAAGCTCCATACAAACTAGATGTGGTCTTAAAGTGGACTTTGTGTTCGCTAAAGTGCTCTTGACTACAGTTCTTCTTTTCGTGTATTTGCATTGTTTCTCTTCTGATTACAGCACAGGCATAGACCCAAACGATGTGGCTGTGGTTCTGGGTGTCCAGGCTCTACAGGGATCAAACCCTAATCAAGTGACTCGGACAATATCACAGACCATAATTAATCCCAACTATAACTCCAATACTCATGACAACGACATCTGCCTCCTGAAGCTCTCCTCACCAGTAACTTTTACCACCTACATCCTGCCCGTCTGTCTGGCAGCCCCAGGCAGCACCTTCTACAAGGGGACTGAAGCCTGGGTCACTGGCTGGGGCAACATTGCAAGTGATGGTGGGTCAGAAAGCACCTGGAGTACATTTATTTTCAGAGATAGTGTGGCTACGGTGGTGGCAGATATATTTTAATATTAAAATGTAGTTTTGTATGTATGTACCTTTACCCAGTGGAGCAACTAAACCTTTCCTGTGGCTCTATGTATGGATACTTTTATCATAATCTGTTTGTGACATTAGCAAACAACTTTTAATATTTTATATTACAAGCTACAATACAAAAGTGTTAAAACAAACATAAAGATATGATGTTTTCTTGGAGGTTTCGCAGTAAGCAGTTTGTTCTGATGATGGCGCCAGAAGAAAGGTCATTAAAGGTGACCTGTGGAGTTTATTTGTATACAAAGAAAAGTGTTGTTTACATAAACAGTTTTAACCAAATCACACTGTGTGTACCCTTAAGTTCTAGCAAATGTGTTGAATGTGTATTCTTCATCATAAAACATTTGCTATGTGGATATTTTAAATATTTATAACTATGCATTGTTTGCATCCATGTTTGGTTGCTAGCATTGTTTTTCTTCATTGCCTTTGTTGGGCATTTCCTAGACTAGTTTATAAGTAACTGCTAGTGGTTGACAGATACTTAGTTTTGGAAGATACTATACATTACATTACACTGATCAGCCATAACATTATGACCACTGACAGGTGACGTGCTTAACACCGATTATCTCGTTATCATGGCACCTGTGGGTGCTTTATATCAGGCAGCAGGCGAACATTGTGGCATCGTAGTTGATGTGTTAGAAGCAAGAAAAATGGGCAAGTGTGAGGATTTGAGCGACTTTGAGAAGGGCCAAATTGTGCATCTCCAAAACAGTCTGCAGCGGTCAGTACTTATCAGAAGTGCTCAAAGAGGGGAAACTTAGCCAGCGACAGGGTCTTGGATGGTCAAGCCTCATTGATGCATGGGAGGAGCGAAGGTTGGCCTGTGTGGTCCGATCCAAAAGATGAGCAACCGCAGGTCAAATTGTTGAAAAAGTTCATGTTGGTTCTGATAATAAGGTGGAGTACATGCCTCGACAGGTCAGGGCTGTTTTGACAGTAGGTGGTCATAATGTTATGGCTGATCAGTGCATAACATAATGTATAGTTAACTAGCCTGTAACAGTTTTAGATTTGATTTTTTTGTAATTTAGGATGGGAGAAACATGTTGACATTAGTACTTAAAGTGGTTTGAGGAGGAACACCTGACAATACTTGAGGTGTGCAACAGACTTACCGTTTGAAACCATTTCATATCACATTTTCACCACTTGTCTCTTTAGTGTCCCTTCCTTCCCCGGGAAACCTAATGGAGGTGCAGGTGCCGATTGTGGGGAACAGAGAGTGTAACTGTAACTATGGAGTGGGCTCAATCACTAGCAACATGATGTGCGCCGGGTTAAGTGCTGGAGGGAAGGACTCCTGTCAGGTGATCATTTTTACGCCCGGTGTTTATGACAGATTTCACCTTCTGCAAGTATTAATTCTCCTAAATGTTTGTCTCTTTAAAGGGGGATTCAGGAGGTCCGATGGTGAGCAAGCAGGGCGGTCGCTGGATCCAGGAGGGAATTGTCAGTTTTGGTAACGGCTGTGCCCTGCCTAATTTCCCAGGAATTTACACCCGAGTGTCCCAGTATCAGTCCTGGATCAACAGTCAGATCACCAGCAACCAGCCAGGCTTCATCACCTTCACGTCCAATGGGACTGACGGTGACCTCAGCGTCACCTGTCCTGGCCTGCCACCACCTCCAACCACCATCACTCCAACCACACGCACTTCCACCACCATCACTCCAACCACGCGCACTTCCACCACCATCACTCCAACCACACGCACTTCCACCACCCGCACTCCAACCACACGCACTTCCACCACCCGCACTCCAACCACCATCACTCCAACCACACGCACTTCCACCACCATCACTCCAACCACACGCACTTCCACCACCCGCACTCCAACCACCATCACTCCAACCACACGCACTTCCACCACCCGCACTCCAACCACACGCACTTCCACCACCCGCACTCCAACCACACGCACTTCCACCACCATCACTCCAACCACACGCACTTCCACCACCCGCACTCCAACCACCATCACTCCAACCACACGCACTCCAACCGCCATCACTCCAACCACGCGCACTTCCACCACCATCACTCCAACCACACGCACTTCCACCACCCGCACTCCAACCACCATCACTCCAACCACACGCACTCCAACCACCATCACTCCAACCACCCGCACTTCCACCACCATCACTCCAACCACACGCACTTCCACCACCCGCACTCCAACCACCCGCACTTCCACCACCATCACTCCAACCACACGCACTTCCACCACCCGCACTCCAACCACCATCACTCCAACCACACGCACTCCAACCACCATCACTCCAACCACACGCACTTCCACCACCCGCACTCCAACCACCCGCACTTCAACCACCATCACTCCAACCACCCGCACTTCCACCACCCGTAGTCCAACCACCCGCACTCCAACCACCATCACTCCAACCACGCGCACTTCAACCACCATCACTCCAACCACCCGCACTCTAACCACCACTGCCCAATGTAAGTGCCTGCCATATCCAGGGGACTTTAAACACCTATAGTCAGCTATAAATGGTCAGCGAAACACCTCTTTTCATTAATATTAATACCTACTTACTTCATGGAGACCAGGACAGCAAATTCTGTCAGAAAAGCTACAAAAAGAAATTTAACCTAGTGTGACAATGACCTTCGTTTTGGTGAAGCTGAAGCATGTTGTTTTAGGTGAGTAAAACGCGCACATACACGCAACAATTATGCCCCTCCTGAGTAGTGATGGTAGCGGAGGGGCACACAAGATGGGATGAATTCCCGTTTGAAAAAAGAGTAAACGAAATGCATTCCTCTTGTGTTGAAACATTTATTTAGGCTATACTCCACTCACTTAACAAGGCTGCTGATGAGTTAAAAGAAATATGATTTGTTTTACATGACAGTGGAGTGCCCCTTTAACTTCTACTGCTGTCACGTTTTTATGACATTAAGGCATCATCAGGGACTGGAGCAATAACTAGTAGTAAGACAACGTCTAAGCAGTAGTACTAATAATAAAATTAGCAGCAGGATAAACAGTATAACAATAACACACTGTCATTCCAGCCCGTCCTTCTCACAAAAATATAGTCATAGGGTGCTTCTTAAGTCTCTTAACTGCATCCACGTTTCCCTAACTTGTGTAGGAAACCAAGCCAGGAAAGAAGGAAAGAGGAAATATGTTTTTAGAGTCATGAGACGTCATGTGAAGCGACTTCCGTTTCACATGACGGCACCTGATCACAACTGGATTAGCTGTCAGTTGGCTCTAACAGCTGCACAGACTTTTGATGGAGTTTGTGTCTACATACATGTGCACAGTTTTGGTACTAATAAAGTCTCACAGTTATCAGCGCAGAGCAGCATGATTCTCTGTTACCTGTTACAAACAGCTGTCCTGCTTAGAGGCACAGGATAATTTCTACTGGCACAATGCTTATAGGCATTTATATTTATTGATTCTAATTGTAAATTTTTTATTGAATAATCCAGGAAATGATCATGGTGTCTTGGGATTTATTAGCCTAAATGTTTCAGGGAAATTGAAATGATGTAACTTGTATCAAAGTTGACGCTCAGTTTTAGGCTTTCAGTTTATTTCCTCTTCTGATATCCTTTAACAGTACTGCGTACATTTTATTTGCAAATCGCAATCACTTGTCAGTGATCGATCACTGCATTCAATCATATCAATCCAACAATTGTTTTTGCGCAGCAGCTTTCATTCATACTGACTCATTAGGCTGTTTACTATGTTTTATCGTCGTCAATTTGGACTAAACATAGGAATGACCAGCCTCACATGTGACTGAATATAAATGACGGTGAGATTATAACATGTTTCTTGCAGACTCACAGTCTCCATAATAAAAGTTGATGGGAGAAATAAAAGAAAGAAAGATCTTTCTAATAAATAATAAAGTTGGGGGAGGGGGGCTTTTGTTGTTCAGAGACTATAAGACTTTGCAGCGATACACTTGAGTTTAATGTAACCTGTCGTGATGCATCAGATGAGTCCGATCCAGCGGCGTGGTTAGCCCTGGGCAAAAGCCCCGGATCTCAGAAGGATTTTTAAAAATCAAACAATAAAAGGCCGATAATTGAACTTTACACGCTTAACTAACGTTACGCACGCGGGAGCGAGAGAGAGAGAGATTATTGTTATTATTTATTCTCCTGCAAATTAGCAGAGAATAAGATGATCCAGCTGTAGCTCTGTGTCCTCTCTGCTCCACCTGAAGCGGCTGTGAGCTGCACTTTATCAGAGGCGCTAAATTTAATTGTGTGGTGAGGTTAATCACCTGATAGGCAGAGGAGGTATTATACATATTTAATTTCAAAATCTATGTTTGGTCCCCCCCTCTTTCCTAATGTAAAGTTTTATTTCGCATTGCCTTCCTGGCTCATAAAGGAGGCGGTTTACTAAGTGACCAGTCAATAACTCACACACTCCACATCAGTCAGACAAAATGTAGCCTATAGAAATGTTTAGGGAGGAAAAATAAACGTTGCTGGAGGCCAGTGCAGCTTCTTCTTTTGTGCTGCTGTTACTTCTAACTGAAGGCAGCAGTGATGATGTCTGCAGCAGGGGTGGGTACATCTAATGTAGGACTACTCTTAATTTCGCTACATTTTCCATTCATACCTTTTATAACTTAACCAGTCTGTAATCTGCATTTTGCTTCATTAACTGAAATGAGCTGTGATCCAGGCTGTGAGCGCAGTTACGTAGTAAAGCGCTGGTCGGGCGCAGTCACAGAGCTGGGCAGATGCAAACATTTAGAATATCAGTCAATCAATATCTTTTCAGTTCACGGCTTTATTGTTCTACAACTTAAATCTAGTGAGCGCACACCATGGCACTGGTGATCGTGTTGGAAAGCAGCCTTCATCGCACTTTAACAAGCCGGCAAGTGAAACACTTTCACTTTCCATTAACGGCGCATTAAAAGCGTCTTTAGTCTCTGCAGAGTAAATGAAGCCTACACACTGTAAGATCTACGTTAGACGATCACTGCATTGATTGAGATATATTAAAAGTGTCCTGTTATTGAACAGCATCGCTTTGGACATCATTAAAATGACCTTGAAAATCAAAATGATTTCATTTATTAATTGGTTACGTAAAAAGATGTCACATGCACATTTAAAGAGTTTACCTCAATCAGTCACACCTGCGTGTGTGTTGATTCAGCAGTGATAATATTAAAAGTTGATCTACAGGAGAAACTGTATAAATATCTGAAAGCTGAGAGCTGCTCTGCATTATATTCTGTTACAATTTTAGATTTTATATTGTTTTATTATACCTTTATTAAATCAGAAAAAAATGCTTTTCCAAGAGTGTCCTGGCCAAGGGAGGCAGTAGTACAATTGTACATTTAAGATGGAAATACATAATCAGTTACAAGGTCATAAAATATCAAAATGTTCTTAAATATTCACCACAATTCAGCAACACCTGAATTTTGTGCACAATAAATTGATGCAGAAAAGGCAGAAATTGGCGCAGAAAAACACCAGAATGCAGGAAATTAATTATTATTAATATATTATTAATTAATTATTGTGTGAAGATATGAAGTTTTATGGGCTGGGCTAAGCCCCCAGTGTTTCAAGATCCTAAAAACGGTGTTGGTCATTAAAAGACTTCCGCGAAGGATATCCTCGCTCATAGCTCCTCAGAGATGGCTCCTCGATCCTCGATCCTCCGAGGGCAGACAAGAGCTTTGGGACGGTCTGCAAGAGGACGGAGCGGAACAACTTCCGGTTCAAGCGAGGAGCAAAGAAACTACAATTAAGAGACTTGAGAAGCACCCATATAGATCAATTCATAGGCCTATTTATTTATTTATAAATGATTTTCCCGGTCTGTTAGCTGAGAGGGGTCAGGGTTGAAATAGTTTCACATCAAAAGTCTTTGTGTTTGAATCAGTTTAGCAATAAACGTTAGAGATGATCACAAAAATCCCTAAACTAAATGGCTTGAGATCAAATATAAATTCAGTAAATATAAATTCAAGATTGCTGTTTCAAACAAGCGTCTTACTCATAACTAAATGGTAAGTCAAAGTTTCTATGCTTACTTTTTTTACTTCCTGTCCATCTGTCATTTGGGAATTTTTATTTTTTTTGGATGAAAATCTTTTTTTTTTATAACTTCGTATTTGCTGTCGAACCTGTATTGCTCACTCTGTCTTTATTGTCTCTCTCCTCAGTGTGTGGTCGGCCTGTGCTCAACAACAAGATTGTTGGAGGGCAGGTGGCCTCTGCAGGCAGCTGGCCCTGGCAGGTCAGTCTGCAAATCTTTGGTTACCACTTCTGTGGAGGAACCCTCATTAACAATCAATGGGTGCTGACTGCTGCTCACTGCTTCTACAGGTAAGCACTGAGGGTAGGGCGGCGACAAAAAACAACATGCCATGCAGTTGAATTAACAGCCTTCCTACAGCAGTGGTTCCCAACCCGGGGGTCACAACCCCTCTAAGTAGCTCTAGGGCTAACCAGAAGGGTATTTGAGTGGCCCAAGAGCCCCTTTGGTGTGACAGGAGGCACAGACATAGTTAAAGCACCAACATTTGCTACTATTATAACAAATGTAAAAACGTTTGAAAACACCGACTCCCTAAACCAATTATTTTGTGCCCTGAACCTAATCTCTATAAACAGATATCTGCATTTGAATGCAGAATCTAAAAGAAAGTGACAAGATTTTTGTATCGGATGCATCTGTGCTTATTTGTAGTCTGACAAGTGTTGACCAGTTAAGTTTGAGCAGGCTTCTGTTGCATGCAGGTACACAGCAAGTGTGAGAGCAAGAGGGAAGCAATGCATTGGCCAAAATATAGTCTCTGAACCGATCGACTAACGTCTGATGATGATTTAGTTTTTTATTCGCTTAGTAAACTGTGGGGTCTCCACAGCAACAGATGCAAAGAACAGTGCTGACTTTGTTTGAGGAAACAACTTATGAAATTAGGACTTGAGGTCATGAAAAAGTACATTGAGCACATGAACAGCTAAGTGAAGGGAATGATTTGCTCTGGTTGCCCGGGCAACTGCCCGTTTGCCTTTCCTGACTCAAGTTGCCCTTCCGAGAAAAAAAAAAAAATAAAAAAAAAAATATCGCGATCGCAAAGCCTCATTCACTTCCATTCGGGCACCGAAAGTGAAAGTCAGTAGGGGAAGGGCAAACTCTGTTTAAGTGGCTGCACTGCTGCAGCGCTGCCTGCACGTCAGTCGATTCTGTTCCCTACCGGAATTCCTGTTTCCTTCCTTTATGCAATCATACTACAACAAATCATGCGTAGTTTTGCCCAGTTACCATACGTGATACGTACCAACAGAAGTGAATACGAGCTAGAAGCGCAACTGAATGTACGGGAAGCCAAAAGGTTAAAAAAGGATTGTATTTTTTTCCGAAATCTAAGCGTTTTTTTATTTAATATTTTATTAGAAGCGAGTTTTCCCCATCTGTCAATTCAATCTAGATTATTTATTTTCAAATAAAAAAAAAAGGAAAAAAAAAAAATAATATAAGGAACTCTTTTTCTCATATGTATTTTGGTGACATTTATATTGTTAATACATTTTGGATACTGTGTTTAGTGCCTTTTTTCAGGTCAGAGCAACTGCCCTTCAAAATTCCTGTGCACGTTCCTGAGTAAATCCATAGTTTTACCTGTAATGTGTGATGACATCTTGTGATGGACAACATTGCCCAAATCAGTCATGGGAAGAGTCGCCACCATACAAATGATGGTGTATACCTAAAATCAATTACCTGTTTTCAATGTTACCCACCCAACCTTCTGTTGTCTGGTTTAAGGCACTGGACTCAAACATCTAACATTTTAAATAAACCCTACAAATCAGTTTAAAAACTCTACAAAAAGCAAAAGATTGTGGTGGTTTAGAACTGGCATTTCTTTTTCTTTACTTCTTGGCCAAGAGACTACAATGTATTTGTAAATTGATCAATCCGAGCCCACTGAACCACTCATGGATGGACATAAAAGAAAAAATCTGTAAGGAAATTAAAATTTCCAATATGCCATTCATAGGGTCTAGTAGCAAACATCATACCTGCTTTATAAGCATTAACTTTAGAACTTCCCCAGCAGCCTGTCGGGAATATCTCTAGGTCTTCACCCATCACATGCAGACTTCCTCTAATCTGGAATAATCCCGAAATCCTCCAAAATAAGAAATAATTAATTCCCATCTACAGCATGTCATGCAGGGCAGTAACTTTATTCCATTCCAGGATCTAGTGGCACAATATGGAATTAGCAATTATACTTTTCTTAAATATCATCAACAATTTAAATCCATAATTCTGGTGAGATTTAAGGATAACAAAATGGATTTAGATCTACCTCCAGTGATAGCAGACATTCTTATCAGTAACACTGATCACATGGAAGACCTGGTTAGAGCTGGGACCACATTTATTACCATTGCTTTTCATTAAATATTTAAGATTTTTCTTTTTACCGCTGCCTTTAACTAATAGATTGATAACTTACACTGCACTGTAACTTTTACTGTCCTGTTTTCTTTTTTTGGTTTTTATCTTTTTTCCATTGCTTTTAATTAAATATTTACACAGTGGGAAATGAGTAGGTAACTGAGTGAAAAAATAATGAGAGTGAGATTGAACAGAGTGAAGGAAGTGGTCTTAAATCTCGCGCCTGAGTGATTTGCAGGAACCTCTGTCCACCTGTAAATGCGCAGGTGGGTCCAGAGTATAACTGGATCAAAGTGGCCTGTGGACAGACATGTCCTGGTTTCTCTGTAGTGTCCGAGGGTTTTTGGAGTTTAAGTGGACCCAAAGATTGCTATGCACCCGAGTACAGACTAGTTAGAGAGAGTAGATTAAGTGCACTTCTGTTTATTCTCTTTTCAAAATAATTGTAACTCAATTATTTGCTCAACCACTGTTTTTATTTTCCATTTTACTCTTTTAACCCTGATTGTACACTGCACTGTAACTTTTATTATTTTTTTAAGTGTAGTTTTTCAATTTCCCTATGTTGCTTTTAAACTTTATATTTTCCTGTTGCTTTTATGTTTTATGTAAAGCACTTTGAATTAAAGTCTGATGTAAGCAGATAACAGTAAGTTGTGTTAGTTGCAGGGAATCTGTCTGTCTGTCCTGCTAACCCAGCTGGGAAGTGCATCCTGCTCTGTCTGTGTTTTGGTTGCTTGCCAGACTTTATGTCTGAACAATGTTGAATTACAACTTTTTATTACGGTTGATTACCGCCGACCGGCCACGGTGTTTATAAACTGCATCTGGGAAAATAAAACTGCGTTGTGCGTGAACGCGTACATGAAATTAAACTTGGGCATTCCAACAGAAACATAAGTGGGTCGAGTCCAGACAAGACACAGGTGTGATGGCACTCCTCATAGCAACTCATCAAGACACTAATTATCTGTCTCTCTGTCAAGTTTAGATACAACTCTGTACTAATGCAAGATCGAAAACTGTGAATTCACATTGACTATTGATTATTAAAATGTTGATTAGCTGGGCAGACTGGGCAATATAGATGCACATCTCTCAGTAATTAATAAACATCACTTAGTCAGTTAAGTCACATAGTATTGAAATTTGAAAATATATATATAATATCTAGCAAGTATTGTTATCTATAAATTACAAGTGCTATGCTCTAGTTTGTCAGTAGATGCTGGATCATCAGCTAGTACCAGCACAAACTCCAGCTTCAGCCAGTACGAGCACAGACCAAGTACAGACCACTTTAGCAGGTCCCACAGACCCAGGTGAAATACAGGTAGCCTCGGCCAGTAGCCTACTAGCACACCCGTAGATGCACAGCATAGTTGTCATTTGTTAAAATGGTTCTGATAAATTGTTTGCAATAACAAATGTTAAATGACAAATGCTTTGAGAAAGGTTTATTTGCACAATAAGAAACATGCAATGCATTGTAAAAAGAAAGGAATGCATTGTAACTTAAGCTAAAAAAACAAGTTGCTGATTCCTACATTATATTACACCTTACACCTGAATGTTGTATACATATATATATATATATATATATATATATATAAATTCAACCATAAATTGGTCTGGAAAATGTCTCCAGAATGTAGAAAATTAAGTGCTTAATGCTCAAAATCATCTCTCTACCCCCAAATAATATATCACAGTAGTAAATATATTCTAATATCTTCTTGTTTTGTTCACGTTTCGAGAACAAGTGTATCACTGCAGCCCTAATCTGAGCCCTTAAATTTCCCCACTTTCCAGCACAAAGTGACGCCCCTTGATGTACAGCCAGCATTAGGTACAAGCAGCTCAGACCCTAATGGAACAGTAGATTGGCCCAGTCTTAAGAGACTTTATGAGTACTGAATTAGTGCGAAGTCCATTCAAACCAGCACTGGATTTTTCTAGAAGAGGTTTCCATTCAGACTTATTACAGAGACAGACTGTTTTAAAGGAGGGAGGATATCAGTGAGAGTACTGCTGTGTCAGGTCTGACTGTGCAGAAATAGCAAATTGTTTACATGGCTCTCGAGTCAGGTAGGAGGGCCCCATCGCAGAATTTCTTTAAGGTCCCAGGGAGATCAGGACCGGCTCTGGTAGTCACGTAGGTCTGTGTGCTTATGATCCGGTCAAATCCCTTTCTGACATGGCAGTGCCATTAATAACGGGACAAGTAAGGGAAGCTTTTAAAGCAAATACTAGCACATTTTATCACTTTCAAAAATTTATGGGAGCCTGTGCCCCAGCAGAGCTTTATGTCTAGCAACACCCCTGCTTCCATTCTTTAAGTGGGAGACAGATCTATCCATTCGTCCAGACCAAAACTTCTGGACGCAAATATGTTTTAATATTTTTAGAATGACTAAAAATCCCAATCTACAACTTACACATTATGAAACTCTCCACAGAACACGCTATACAGGACAAAGGATGTTCAGAATGAGTCTTATTCAGTCAAACATCTGCCTGAACTGCTCAGGGATCATCTATGCATGCTATGTGGCTATGCACACCTGCCCAAAAGTTCTGACAGAAGATATCTGAAGACCTATCAATTTGGCTAAGGTACCCCGTCCCAGTTTCTCCATCACTCTGCATGCTGGGGGAACATAACAGGAGTCCACGCTTCTTACATACTTGTCACTACCCAATGTATCGCATTGGGCTGCTTTATGGCGGCTCCCCTGGTTTGGGGACATACTCTGGACCCGGAGGCCTGGGGCCTGGGGCCTGGTGCTTTTGCTCATGTCTTGGGTGGGTGGCATGTCCCTGGGCCTGGGATCCATTGTCTCCTCTCCTCACCGGAGGCCCTCTGGGGCATGTGGTATTGGGTCCTTTCTGTTCTCGCCTGCTTGCCACTGGGGCTGGTGTGGCGCTGTTGTGGCATCCCACTCTCACTAACAACTACATTCCACACACACTCACAGACGCATACACACACATACATGGACACACACGTACACACACACTCAAATTTAGGTTGTCCACGGTTGTCAACAGGTAGTTGCATTATTCGTTTTGCTTTTCATTATCTATTTAAATGAACTGTTATTGTTCCGGCTGTCATGGCTGGGCTGTGTTGTTTTTTATTTAACTTGACTTTTTCTCCTTTTCATTCTCCCACAGTTATTTTCTTATGTCTGCTGTTTATTGCTGCTTTTCGGCTGGTTGTCTGCCCTCTTTACTACAGTTCTGCTTTTCATGTCCTTGCACTGTTTTGTTTCTCTTACAGCACAGGCATAACCACAAGCACTGTGACTGTGTCTCTGGGTCTCCAGAGTCTACAGGGATCAAACCCCAATCAAGTGTCTCGGACAGTATCACAGATCATCATTCATCCCAACTTTAACTCTCGAACTTTTGACAACGACATCTGCCTCCTGAAGCTCTCCTCACCGGTGATTTTCACCACCTACATTCAGCCCGTCTGCCTGGCAGCCACAGGCAGCACCTTCTACAAGGGGACTCTCTCCTGGGTCACCGGCTGGGGCGATGTTGGAACTGGAGGTAGGTCAGAAAGCACATCTGTGTTTTCTCAGATATTTCGATGCAAAAATGTTGTTGCTTCTTTACACAGCGTAGCAACTAAACCTTTTACTTTTATCATGATCTGTCTGTGACATTAGCAAGCACACAGTTTTGTAAACAAGTTTAAATCTTTTATACACCCCAGTGACCCCACAATACGTAGGTGACCTGTTGAGTTTTCTTGTCAACAAAGAAAAGTTTTGTTTACATCAACAGTTTCTCACCAAATCACACTGTGTGTATTCTTTATCATTTACAACACAGATTCTCCAAAAAACGTTAACTTACGCATTCTTTATATCGATGTCTGGTTGCTAGCATCCTTCCATCCTTCTTCTTTGGTGCCTTTGTTGGTGAATTTCTGCACTGCACCGATATGAATTTTTGAACACCTGATACCAGTATTTAGAGAGCAGTGTGGCAGATGGCCGATGCCATGATGTTTTTAATTTTTTTATCATCTGATAAAATTTAATCATAATAATGATGAGATGTCATTTTTTAACGCTATAAAACAAAAATAAAACAAAGTGAAGTCAGGTATATTTCCATTTTTCCATGTACATTACAGTCTATTTGGCATGTTCTCTGGAATTTTATTTATTAGAAATAGAAAAATACATTGGGTTATGCTGTAGATTTCAGAATGTGACCAGTATTTAATGCATCATTATTAAACTGCATTATACTATACATTATTACATATTATGTAGCTAACACAAGCCTGTAACAGCTTAAGAGTATATTTAGAAACATGTTAACATTTGAAGTACTGGAAGTGTTTTTTAAGTTTGTTGGTGGACGTGTTCTTTGGTTCAACGCTGGAATTACTGATTATACCTTTGATGGGCTAAGACCTTGTAAAACAGCTTTCATGATCTTTTAAGTACAAGTAGTGAGAATGTTTTCTTGATTCATAGGCACCCGGTAATACTTGAGGTGTGCCACAGGCCTACTGATGTAATAATTAAAATGGCAATTTTGTGTAAAACCATTTACATTTCAGCCCTTGTGTTGTTTACTAAACTGAATTTGTGTCTCTTCAGTGAACCTTCCTTCCCCAGGAAACCTGATGGAGGTGCAGCTGCCGATTGTGGGGAACAGACAGTGTAACTGTAACTACGGAGTGGGCTCAATCACAAGCAACATGATGTGCGCCGGGTTAAGTGCTGGAGGAAAGGACTCCTGTCAGGTGATCATTTTTTGCCTGAGTTCATGTCAGATTTCACCTCCAGCAAAGATTCCTTCTCCTAAATGTTTGTCTCTTTAAAGGGGGATTCAGGAGGTCCGATGGTGAGCAAGCAGAGCGGTCGCTGGATCCAGGAGGGAGTCGTCAGTTTTGGAAGAGGCTGTGCCGAGCCTAATTTCCCAGGAGTCTACACCCGAGTGTCCCAGTATCAGTCCTGGATCAACAGCCAGATCACCAGCAACCAGCCAGGCTTCCTCACCTTCACGTCCACTGGGACTGACGGTGACCTCAACGCCACTTGTCCTGGCTTGCCAGCACCTCCAACCACCCCCATTTAAACAACTCTCACCCTAACAACCACAGCCCCACGTAAGTACCTGACATGCCCAGATGTTGATTTTAACTCTCCCTGGAAAGCTTTAAAGCCACATTTCCTTGCTTTTTTAACTTAACTGGTTTCTCCTCTCATAAGTAGTCAGACCAAGTCTTAACAGGGCCGAGTAGAATCTCTAGTATCGTCAATCAGGATTAACAGTGACACTCGTGAATAAGAGGAAATATCGTACGAGATTTGACTGGTGGGAGAGATGGGAAATCAAAAACGCAAACAACTGAAGGTGAAAAACCTGATCATTTGTATCCTATTAGAATTATGGGTGAACAAGATTTATCATGTAAAATCATACTTGACTTTTTAAAAATTGTATAAGGTCTGTTGCTTTTATGTTTTATGTAAAGCACTTTGAATTGCCTTGTTGCTGAAATATCCTATCTAAATAAACTTGCCTTGCCTTAAAATTATACATTTTTCTTTACGTAAAAGCACAATTAATGATCAGGATAGTATTTAGATTGTTTAGAAATTTGCGCAGGGGCGGCACGGTGCTACAGTGGTTAGCAAGAAGGTCGTGGGTTCAAACCCCAGTTGCCTCGGCCTTTCTGTGTGGAGTTTGCATGTTCTCCCCGTGTCTGTGTGGGTTCTCTCCGGGTGCTCCGGCTTCCTCCCACCGTCCAAAGACATACAGGCTAGGTTAATTGGTGACCCTAAATTGTCCTTAGGTGTGAGTGTGACTGGTTGTCTGTCTATGTGTGGCCCTGCGATCGACTGGCGACACTGTGCCCAGTGTCAGCTGGGATTGGCTCCAGTCCCAGCTAAGGTGGTTCACCTCTTACCGGGTAGATCGCCATGGTAACTTATGCTGAACGGCTGACCTGCTCCGGAGCAATCAACGCAATATTATAGACTATGTCAACGGCAGTTCATTTAGGCATTCACACTGTCTGCGATTTTCTGTCTCCCTGCGTGTGTTACTGCCGTATTTCTGTAGTGTTACAGTTCAGTATTCGTTCATAAAATATGACGCTCTGCTGACAGCGAACTTGTTCATGTCTGTGATTGGTCATCTGTTGCTAACACCACCTCTTTTATGTGAACACGCTCCCGGCTGAATTGGGAAACCCTGGGTTGACTAACTGAGTTGATAACCAGCTTCATGGTACCGCTTATCCCGATCGTGATTGTTAGGGTTAGTTAAGCCAGATGACAAAAACATATCCTGGGTATGTTGAACTCGCTTGTTTACAGTCTAAATGCTAAGCTAAGCTAAGCTAACTGACTTCTGGCTGTAGCTTCACATTTCCCTTATTTTATAAATCTGTTTATTTTCAGGTACAACCCACATCGATTAACATCACTGTAAATGTGCAAGTTTTAGCTAAAAGGCAATTTTACAATTGGTGTCCCTTGGCCAGATGTTAAATTATCCACATAAATTTACTAAACAAAGGGATTGAACTTCAAATGTACCTCTCAGCAAGAAAGTGAAAAAACATAGTTCATAAAATGTTAAATTATATCTTAAAGGCATAAGGAAATATGGTTCAGAAAGTACATTTGGTGAAAATAAGGAAAAAGAATATTATTTGAAAGAAAACACATTTTTTCTATAGTTTCATGAAACTTACTTGAACATATCTGTCTTGCTTGTTTGTTCAGGCTGATTCTGGCGGTCCAGTGATGTGTGAGCAGGGTGGCTCTTGGCTCCGGGCAGCAGTGTTAGTTGGAAACAAGAGCACTAATCAAGACTGAAACAACAGCAGCAGCACAGCTGCCACCAATATACCCACTACCACTCCTGCTCACTTGCTCTTCTTCTTCTTCCATCTCCTCTTCTTCTCTGCGTGTGAGATTCTGGATGCTAACTACTTTCTCTCTAAAATCAAGGGTGTAAAATTAAGCTATAGGGATAATATGGATATCTGCATCTGTTTTATTATGATTTGTATTCAATACAATTACAAAATATGTGAAATCTCATATATAATTTTAACAAACTGAAGATTATTTTTATGAATGAGTGTACAATGGGATCCCCAAGTGCCACTCATTATGTTGTAGTTACAAAAAAATGGATCTACAGATAATGAGGTCTGAGGAACACAGTGACAATAATCAGCCTGTTCATCATCTGCAGCATATTATTAAAAAATAAATGACAGTTTTAAGTCTTGGCAAGCTTTGCAATGAAATACTGTGCTGTAGGTGAAGTGCTGAACAACTTCCACCTTTGTCTTTTTGTCATAATAGTAGAAATCCTTTCGGCCTACTTGTTCCTTTACGCTTTGAGCACATGTGTGCTACTGTTCTCAGTTTTATTTTATTTTTTTAAATAGCAGCACACTATTATTGGTCATTAGTAGTTCTGGTTGATATCTACAAAATTAAAGACATATACAGAAAATGTGTGTGTTTGTGTGTTTTCCTGAGTATGCCTGCATTTATATAGCTGAACTTGAAGGCATGAATGCAGCAGCTACGTACTGCCAGTTCATTAGGTCCGCCTAACTCAAACTAATGCAGTCTAATGGTGTTTCTATGAGGCTGTACTCAGACACAGCAGGACGAGGGAACAGGAGTCGGCTGGGCCAACAACGGAGCTGGTGTTGGTCGGACCACTGACAGAGCATGGGGAACAGGAGTCGGCTGGGCCACCAACGAAGCTGGTGTTGGTCGGACCACCGACGGAGCATGGGGAACAGGAGTCGGCTGGGCCACCAATGGAGCTGGTGTTGGTCGGACCATCGATGGAGCATGGGGAACAGGAGTCGGCTGGGCCACCGGCAAAGCAGGTGCCGGTCGGACCACCGACGGAGCACAAGGAATGGGAGTCGGCTGGGCCACCAACGAAACTGGTGTTGGTTGGACCACGGATGAGGGACCAGAAGTCGATCGGACCACCGGCGAAGCAGGTGCCGGTCGGACCACCGACAGAGCACTAGGAACAGGAATCAGCTGGTGATAAGGCTGGCTGGTGACCTGGTCGCCTCCGATGACCACCACGGGAACCTGAAAAGATGGCCAGGCGACTCCCTTCAAAGGAGAATACCGGGGGAAGCCTAGCCTCCAGGCTATCAGGCCATAGGCTAGCTGCGCTAGCTGGCCGGTAATCAGGGAGGGCAGGCAGGGGGTTAGCAGGCTGGGGAACATATAGCCTGGAGCCAGCAGCGCTAGCGGGCCAGGGATCAGGCTGGCGGCTAGCAGCGCTAGCAGGCCAGGGATCAGACTGGTGACTGGCAGCGCTAGCCCGGCAGGACGGGTGGATGCTTCCCTGCGTGCAGCCGGCAGGCCGGGGCTCGGGGCTAGCAGGCTTAGCAGTCACACACTGGGGAGGTTGCAGAGCAAAGTCTCGATACAGTCTCAAATTCAAAAGTCCTTCTCCATCGGGAGGAGGCAATGAGCAGGGCCATTTCTGGGTCCGTTCTCCACATAATTGAGATTAACTCAAAAAACTGCGGCTCCTCGGCTGTTAGCTCCTCTTTAGGCACCCCCAGTTCCTCCCAGGTGCTGGGCAATTTAACAATGTCCGCTGGGTCCATATTTGGTTGGGTCATTCTGTCATGGTTTTGAGGTGAAGGCAGGGTGGAGCAGGTTGGAGGACCCAAACGCAGGACACAGAGTGGAGCAGGTATACTTCAGTGGTTTTAATATAACAAAAAGCGAGCACACTTACAAACAGAGTGGCTGATAGACTGAGTCCAAAAACAAGGGCTGTCCAACAGAAATACAAAATACAAAATCCAATAACGGCAGGGAAACAGGGAGAGACGACGAGTGAGGCTGACGACACGAAACACACTGCTGAGAAGAACAGGTAAACAGAAGAACACCAGAAACAAATGGCAAAAACTACAACTCATGACAAGGGAGACGCTTTTCATTGCTGCTCTGCTGAGCTGCAGAGCCAAGTTAGGGGAGAACAGGGGTGAAAGTACCATTTTTCAGAAAAAAATTATTTTAAAAGATTATGTTGTAGACAGTGATATATTTTTGCTGTGGTCACCAACTCACAGGTGTGGTCTATCAATATCAGGTGGTATTTTGTACAAATGTATTTAATTCAATTCAATTTTATTTGTATAGCGCTAAATCACAACAACAGTTATCTCAGAGCGCTTTTCATAAATAAGCAGGTCTAGACCATACTCTGTGATGATATTTACAGAAACCCAACAGTTCCCACCAAGAGCAAGCACTAGGCGACAGAGGCAAGGAAAAACTTACTTTTGTTGCAGTAATCCAGCCTACAAGTAACAAATGCATGGTCTAGTTTTTCTGCATCATTTTTAGACAAGATGTTCCTGATTTTCGCAATATTACATAGGTGAAAAAAGGTGGTCCTTGAAATTTGCTTAATGTGAGAATTAAACGACATGTCTTGAACAAAGATAACTCCTCACAGTGGTGCTGGAGGCCAGGGCGATGCCATCAAGGGAAACAATATCTTTAGATAATGCGTCATGGAGGTGCCTGGGCCCCAGAACAATAACTTCAGTTTAATCCTAGTTTAACATCAGAAAATTACAGGTCATCCAGGTTTTAACATCCTGAAGGCACATTTGAAGTTTAACTAACTGATGAGTTTCATCTGGCTTGATCGATAGATGTAATTGAGTATCATCTGCATAACAATGAAAGTTTATGGAATGTTTCCTGATAATATTGCCTAAAGGAAGCATATATAAAGTGAAGAGGATTGGTCCGAGGACAGATCCTTGTGGATCTCCATGACTAACTTTGGCTATGGGAATACTGGGCTCAATAGAGCTGTGACTCTCTGTCAGCCTGACTACAGTGCTGAAAAGAAACCTGGGGTTGTTACTATTTTCCTCTATTAATGACGAGTAGTACGCTGTTCTGGCATTACGGAGGGCCGTCCTATAAGTTTTAAGACTATCTTGCCAAATTAAATGAGAGTTTTCCAGTTTGGTGGAACGCCAATTCCTCTCAAGTTTGAGTGCGAGTTTCAGTATTATACCATGGAGCTAACCGT